CTTCATTAACAGGCCAATCACAAACTTGTTGGGCTCATGGCATTCTCAGGAGATGTGGATGTGGAGATGCTACAGCAAGATTATGACCTCGAACCATTTGATAATCTTGTTCAGGTAAGTGCCAGTTCTTGTTGTCCTTTTTTTTGTCATCCCTTTTCCCTGGTTTCCGATACAGAGGGGTGGGCAGTCACTCTTCTCTCTTTGCACCCCCATTTTGTAGGCATTTCGCTATTTTAATTAGAGAAAAAAGAGTGAAGGCCAGAAATAGTCAGTTTGTGTCCAGGAGGGAGATCCCACTAGCCATGTATGTGGATTAGTGTGACGGGTGTGGGACGGGTGGGGGACAGGTGGGTGGCAGCGTGAAATAGGGAAAATAAACGCAAAAAGTACATTTCATGACCAAACAAATGAAGAAAAAACTGCGAAAAAGGAAAAGAAAGTGCTCTTCTCACAGATGGTGTCTGCTCCGGGCGGGGTCTAAGATGTCAGGGTATGATTTACTGACCATGGCTGTGGCAGTCAAGACGACTGCATGTGACTGGGCACACGGACCATGTTCATTGACAATAGTCTGAGGCTTCCTTGAAATAGGCCGCAGTGCACGCTGTTCGGTTGTTCTGACAGAATTCTCTTTGGCGAAGGAGGGCAAGAGTCACTCCATACACACTTTACTGTAGGTGAGGGGATCGAACCCTCCCAAACACCTCCCAAACCACAATCAATTTCCAGCGATGAAGCCATTCGTCTTCGCTTTCCCCGTGAGTGAAACGTGTGTGATTTCACGAACCAAAAAAATTGGCTGTGATTTCACGCACGTTTGGGACAGCCACAGGACCCCAACAACAAAAACGAAAGGAAAACCTACCAATGGGAGAGCAAAAGAAAACATCCTTTTCCCAGGCTTAATTCGCAAAAACAGGCTACCGCTGATTTCCTGCCAAATCCACGATGCCTGACAGTCACACACCTTAAACACTAATCCACATACATGGCTAGTGGGATCTCCCTCCAGGAGGGTAAAACTAGCTCCGTGACAATGAAACCCACAGGAATAGCCATTTCGTTAAAATGGACATTTTATATTTTTTGAACGAAATGAAACAGACTTATTTGGCCCCAAAAATGTCAAAATTTTATTTTTCCCGAGGCAGATTCTTGACCAAAACACCTGCCTGATCTGCACCCACTTCTTTTTTTTTTCCTGTTTTTCCTCTTCTTTTTTTTTTAATAGGAAAAAAAGCACAATGACCTTCCGGGCTTTGAGATGTCATACTTTGAACTCACCAGGGGCATGGTCCCACTAGCAAAGAGGATCGGATAGAATGCCTGAATCTGGACTTGTTTGTGGAAAAGTGCAGAATGTCGAGACTGAACTGCTTTTCCCCATCTCTTCTTAAAACACGTCCAGATTCAGTAGCTCAATCCCATCCATTTTGCTAGTGGGACCTCGGCCCAGTATCTTACTCCATCTGCTTCAGTGGAGTCCCAAATTTTTTTTTTTTTTGGTTTTGTTTTTGAAGGATAAGACTCTGCAGGTGGTACTAGGCAGGGTGATATGAGCATGGCTAGCTAGTACACCTGTTTGGGTCACTCCATCTGTTGGTGGGGAGCTGCGAACGTAGGTCTGTATTTCTTTTTTTTTTAATTAAAAATAAATAAATTGTATGAGGTCAAGGTAGGGCAGTTGGCATTTCACCTCAAGAGAAACAGTTCACGGGGGGCAAGTCCCACTAGCAGCGTTGAGCTACCTCAACGCCTGAATCTGGACGTCTTTGCTGAGATGTGCAGAAATGGTGTTGAGTTTCCTGAACTGCATGTCTCCACAAACACGTCCAGATTCAGGCGTTGAGGTAGCTCAACGCTGCTAGTTGGACTTGGCCCCGGGCGTACCAAGTGAGCTAGGCCAGTTGGTGTTTGATGTCCTCTTTCTTTTCTGGGCCCGACAATTTATTTATCAATTTATTTATTTATTTACCGTACAAAAATCCATGCCCCTGTTTCAGATCTTGCCCCAGTCCCAATGCCCAATTTTCTCTCTCATATGGAGCTACAGTACTTGGTCTTTCCATGTTGCACTGAGGACATACTGCAAAGGGCATTTTTAAGGACGTATCTGCCCAGAATTAAGGCTTGATTGGGTCCAGATGGTCTGGGTGTGAATATAGCCTGAAATATTTGCATTTCCCAATGTGACAGGAGATACCCCTTCCAGAGAAATCAGAGGAGACAGACGAAGCCAAAAAACGCCTTGAGCGAGAACCCTCCAAGTCATTTCTGGCATTGTCGCCGCTACGACTGATAGGTACGTCCAATCTATCGAACAACACAGTCCTCTCTTTTCCCCGAATAGGTGAGTGTTATGATGTGTGTGTGTACGTACAAGTGTGGGGTGTGTGTGTGTGTGTGTGTGTGTGTGCGTGTGTGACAATGTGTATGAAGGACCATAATATTATATATTCTCTCTCCAGACTCCAGCAGATAATCCTTCTTCGATCAACCACCTTTCAGGGGAAAGTCATGCAAATATCAGATGATGATGACTCCCATATAACTCTTCATTGAACGGACATGAATGTGACGTGCAACAATTATCTTGGAGACGGCCCTCGGAAGGGTGAAAGTCAGGAAACCAAAAAAAAAAGGGGTAACTAGGGCGCAGTCACGAAAGTAGTTTGTAAAACCATCGGACCAAAGTAAAAGAAAAAAGGGTTAACTGTCCTTCGGGACATCCGTTAAAATTGGAACGATACAGAGAAGATTAGCATGGCCCCTGCGCAAGGATGACACACATAAATCGAGAAATGGTCCAAATTAAAAAAAAAAAAAAAAAAAAAAAAA